ATGAATCGATCTAAGCTAAACCATCATTCAAAACCTGGAATCACTGGGCGGCCGTTTCGTCATAGTATGGGACCTCTCAGCAGTGCGTATCCACGACCCCTCATGTGGGAGTCGAACCCGACCTCTAGACTACTGAGCCGGCATCTACCTGCGTTAATGTTTAACTTCAATCGACCCATGACCTTACGCAACCATTCTTCCATTGTGTGAATTAGGTACTTATCTCTACCCGACACGGATCGGACTCCACTGATCATGGCTTCTCACTAAAACTCCAGGAAATATATTTTGTATCCCGTCACTAGTGAGCACATGATGATTATCATCAGAAGGGGGAGATTGTAGTAACTTTATTAGTTGAATTCATTAGTCGATCTAAGGTTTCCAATGTTGGTTTAGCTTAGATCGACTCATGAATTCGACTATTCAAATTAATTTCGATAATACAATGAGAAGACGTAGTTTATCAGAATTATGTGATATATTTGCGCAATACATTTCGAACAATCTGATCACACATATACTTGTTAAGAACATTTATATATGAAAAATTAAAAGGTCAACTAGACATGTTAAGGATAATTAATACAATCTCTGTAAACCTCCATTCTGACAATAAATTCTTATCTTATCGAAATCATTATCACCACCTTCAGTTAAAAGTCTCATAAGTTTACTTCAGTATGTTTGGTTTTAGTGTTGATAATAGTGATTAAATTCATACATACTTCCAACATTACGTAGTATAAATTGAATAAAAGCTATTCGATAGTGTTCACATTTCCCTTTTTATTCATCTAATCAATTTTGTTCAGGAAAATAGCAAATCGCATTATCATGTACACTCATAATGAACACGAAAAGAACTCTGATTCCCTTTTTCACAGTTTTATGTGTATTTTCCCAAAAAATAAATGAGACTTTGAATTTGTATGGATTTAAGTTAATTTCGATTCTCGAATATGGGATGTTTGTAAAAGACATGGGAGAAAACATAAATACTTGAATATATTTTTGATTTAAATTTAAGCTACTGATAAATATATTAGTAGGTTATTTATCAAACAAAATCTCTTAAACTTCTGTGAACACTATTGAAGTACTTGTTACTGTGACCTATAAAATATTTTCACCTTTTTGAGGCAACTCGGTTCTTCTTCAGCTATCGAACTGAGTTATTTGACTTATCAAAAAAATATTTCAATATATAATGGACAATAATACACAGGTTTCGGCGTAGAGCCATTTCTTAGAATACATAGTTTTAATTATCAAACTTGAATAAATAATTCTATAATTGTGTCGGTTAAAGTATATGGAACAATGAACTTTCTTATACTTTTTTTAATCTAAGTCTAAAATCTTTATTCACTAAAGAGCCAACATTACTATATTCATAACTTATTAGTGTGCTTTATACCTTCTAATCCGATATCCCTCGATTATAATTACATGCAGCATTTCTTGTTATCTAACTGGCCACGATAGATCTTGAGATTGTGTAAATAAAGTTGGTTCTAGTTTGTGAAGAAACAGTTGTGAACTACATTTTAACCCTTCTGGTCTCAACATGAGTCTCATTTAAGTAGTGTTAATGTATGCTAAAGTTAATTGTGCTTCTAAAGAACAGTAAGTAATCAGTTTACCATATTTCTGCATTTAACAGACATACTGCTATTTGTCCCGACTATTTTTAATAAGCATCTACACAACTGGTATTTTGGGATTCTATTTTGTCAACATCTTAATTGAGGACATAACCAATATAAACTAAATTTCGATACACTCGAGTTACCAGTTTTGTTCTCTTAGGAATAGTAATTTGTGCGAACTCTTCCTTCGCAGTGTGATTTAACAATAACACATTACAATTTATACACTGACAACAGACCTGAGTGATACACTAGATAGTGCGAACACTATACCGAGCATACTGGTTCATCATGCTTGGTATCCAATTCCAACTAACGATTGAGAGGAAATAATAGAAAGGAATTCATAGTATTAGTGTTTAAAACATTTATCAAAGCTGGCTGTTTAATTTCGCTCGCTAGCTGATCTTAGTTTACCGTTACATCTGAACTGCACTTTAGTCTTACTATGATCCAGTCTGTCAGACCTTTTTCGTACCAAATATTACCACTCCAGTGTACAGTTTTTAATATTTATCGTCGATTAAACTATTATTGATAACATTCATGGTGTATTTTAATCCTCATTTATAAACTAGTACCTTTCAGAATTCATCCAAAAGCTTTTGAATCTTTTTATGACAGTGGTTTTGATATATTCATTGTCATTCTATAATTATGTCAGCTGTCTGATTTTGCGCATATTTAGTTATATCGCCAAAAATGATTTAATACGATGTTGTACGGTATTCCATGATCTAGAGGTTCTGCAGTAATTTGGAAAACTCTCCCGGTCTCCCACATTGTATGAGTATTCCATGGACCTAAATAAATGGTTGCTCTGGTTGTCAGAAGGGTTGTCAGCCTCTCGACTTCCAAAGGAACCCGGCTTTCATCATGAGGCGTCATAACTCTTCTAAATGAAGACCTTCTGACTCCCAGGGCAGAGTTTAGAAGGTTTGAATAATTTTTCTGGTTAACGTTTTTTTAACGAGTTAGTTTTCTACGGGTTGGGGTTGCTAACCCTATGCCCAACCCTCCTCTTTTATCCGGGCTTGGGACCGGCAGTAGCCCTCGGAGGGACTCCAGGCGGAGTTGATCTAGAGGTCATGTTTGAGAAATTTTAAAATTAGGCTCCAGACTTTCCGATCTCTGTCATTAAAGAAATAACTATGATCCTAAAAACTTGAACAAGATGGATTTCCTTGTCAAAGGAAGTAAAAATTGACCCAAAATATATGTTACACATTTCAGAATAGTTATAATCAGAACAAGCGCTTTATTCCTGATGTTTTCTTTGCGTAGAACAAAACCAGTTAGTTTTTGTTTCGAGTTCTGGCGTTTTTTTGTCCAAAAACATTCCACTTTTCAGAACGACTACCTTTTTCTAAACTTACTTCCCTATGAATAAACTTAAAAGTCTTGTACGCACAAGTTAGTTGACCTATTTATTGAAATATATTCAGATGCTTGAAAATGAAAAACCTATTCACCCTTTATAAATTACATAAGCTTTTACCGTTCACTTATAAACTAACCGGAAATGATTATTTATCTTATAAACCTATTTTAATTCTTAACAAAATAGTGATGGAGCGTGGTCATACGGATTTCACCTTGAAGTAAACTAATAAATATCAGTAAACAACTTTTCAAATTTTCCAAAACATACTTCATTATTTTGTATAACGGAAATCCTGATTGCTTTTAAGATAAATTGAAATTAATCATTAGTAGATGAATGCAAAATAACAAACAAACTTTGTTTTATTAATGGCATATATTTCATGAATTCTCTTTCACCCATCAATCTCTTTTTTTCTCGAAATTAGGTTTTTATTAAAAACAGATTTCAGTCTAATTCAGTGAGTGTATGCAACATGGTCACCTTTTAAATTGTTTTCAAATTTTTATGGTCACGAATTTCAATTAAAATCAGGCGATTTAGAGCATTTCTCAACTTCCTGTGATTTGCGATGATATATATTAATTCTAATAGGATTGGAAGCTTCATAGTATGATGCACTACCATCTAACATAAAAGCTAAGTATACATTAAGCCGAATCACTTAGATTATTGTCTATATAGTAACTAACTAAATAAAATGCCATTCACACCAAAAACTAGACAAACCTAATATCAGTAATTACTTAATGATCAGTCAAAATAAATATCGCGTTCCTACAGGTCCGAGTAACCCTGAAGTAACAACTACAACTGTGAAGCTCAATTAAATGTAAGGCATCAGTTCCCTTCGAGATCGAAAGTACGACATGCTGACCAGTGCCATAATGTACGAAATTCACTTATAAGGAAGCATATGTTAATTGTATTATTTATTTTAGGGTATATAAAGGAGGTTCAAAATCTGAATGAAATGACCATTTAAATCTTATTACTTTTGATTGGTGCAACAAATAATGCTAGACTTTCGATGAAATCCATATTTTGAATAATTATACATCACATCCACTTGTTTAGAAAATTGTTTGCTTTAAATGAATATAATCTTGAAGGCAAAATGAATAACTAGCTGATATCATCTAGTAAACCACTGAAAACTATGAATCATTAGAGAATTATTTCAATTTCAATTTGTGATTTCGTATAAAGCCGTAACTGTACACTGAGATTTAGATGGTGGTTGGAGGTAGTCAACAGGAATCCCTGGACCCGGGTTTCGTGCTACTTGGCACTCGTCAGCAAGGTGTACCTGTAATCTTGAGGGAACTGGTGCTCCCTGGCCGATTCGATCTCGTGTCACCCAGCTTCACAGTCAGAGACGTTACCACTGAGCTATCCGAGCTGTGACTAACCTCCTGTAGGACTGAGATGTAATCACAATTGATTGATCACTGGGTGGTGATCAATGTCATGCTTGTCCAGTCCTCATTAGTGCAGATCCAATGCTATCGATCATGTTGCAATGTGCCCGCAGTGTCGAGTCACCTAGACTGGTGGCCACATTGCAACATGATCGATAGCATTGGATCTGCACTAATAAGGACTAGACAAGCATGACATTGATCACCACCCAGTGATCAATCAATTGTGTAACTGTACACTCCTAAAATGCTCTTTGAAAAACTCTTTTAATTCATTTAGAAATACACTGAAGTGTATCGATAATATTTATCAGCACATAGAATATACATACAAACATTTATATTTTACATCTATTTGTTTGTCTAGTTTGTCTAGTTGACGGTGAATTCTATCCCGTTTGTTGATATGTATATATATGTCATTACTATTAAGAAAGTAAACAAAACTGAAATTACACTAACTAATATTAACGGTGGAATTAGGCCAATTCTTAATTTAATCAACCAACCAATTAGTTAAATAATCAGCCTTTGATTTAATGACTTAGAATATATTAATCAATACATTGATTAATTAATGTTATTCACAATTCACCATTATTAACCATAGTTCATCTATTTTAATATAAAGACGTTTACTGTTATCATTCATCTTACCTATTGTGATATATCGAGGTATGGAGATATTAGTAAGTAAATTAACAATTTCATAGTTTATTGATAATTTAACCGAACAAATTTCGACATTATACCTGTTTCATTTTGAAAAGATCCTTCATTGTGAACTGTCAACAGTATGAGAATTATTGAAGATCAAATAGTATTCAGATAGTAGTTTCGTTCAACTGTTTTCAGTTTGTAACAGAAGGACTTTCAAAATAAAGCATAAAAAATAGTTGTTATGTGATCACAAGTGACTATTTTTCATATACCCCTTCCAGCCAAACAAGTTGGTGAAGCTTAGTAGGCCCTTCTGGAGAGAAACAGGCCACATCAAAGCATGGCAGAACTACCAGGGTTAGAATAGTTGTTTCTGCAATCGTTTGGAGTTTGCCCAATGACGAGCAACTCCATATGATACATGCACCACTTTCGAGAAAATGTTTTGTCTTTTTTTCCATTCCAAATGTAGTTGTCTTATGTTTATCTGTGGAGTTCGTAATCAGTTTGTGGGTATAGGTAAGAGTGGGTGATTAGCCCGATCTCCACCACCTGGGTTACCGCTCACGTTAGGTCATGAGTCATTCGTCTCATTATCTAGGAGGCACGACATGGACGTGTGAGTCGGATTTTGCCTCCCAACTCGAACTTAGTACCGTTCGATTCAAATGCCATCGCGTTATCCACCTAGCTACTGAGTCCTATAGATTTTTTGACACTCTAGTGAGAACTCATGATCCATTGAGTCAATTAAATCATGAATGAGAAAGTTATTTACCAATGACATCAGATGAGTATTGCACTGTCTAAAAGACTGACAGAAATTGTAAATATAATTGATAAAACAATTTCTGACACTCTGAAAAATCTTGATTCTCCAGATTTCATCCTGTTTAATACTTATAAGTACTAAAGAGGAGTACTTAATTAGAATAAAACAATTGTTTGATGATCCATTGTTTCAAGTTGTTCTAGAGGTGATTTTAGTTAGTTGTGAAAATGTGTTAGTACTGTGTAATATTTCCAGAACATTGCTTAATATAAGTTACGGATAACATTCAAAGCCTATGATATTATTTGCAACACCTTCTGTTTATCGAGTAAGAATTCACTGTAGAGATTTTCGATCTAAAAAGTCAGCTTATAAGTTTGACATATGACTATTAAAGAAAATCAGTATAGTAAATGTATGCTATTAATTCCATAGTTTTAGTCTAGTTTAATATATTGAGAAATTTATCATCAACTTTGTATTCTTATTCAATTTATAGGTGGTTAGTTTGAACTAATTTATCGACAAATCTAGAGTGTAAAGCTTCAGTTGCTTAAAACCTAGTAGTGATTAGTTAAACAAGTATAAAATCAATAATAAATGTTCAGTACTAAGAGATATTACTTATTTTTCAGAATGATGTTCAGAAATTTAAAACTATGACAAATGATTCATATCTTTGTAAATCTCAAAATTATTCTCTTTGGTTCCTTCATCAATTATCACTTCTTTATATTAGCTAAATAATTTAATGATTTCACGCTTATAACTCTTCAATCAATACTCTTCATCAAGCAAAAGGTACTAGATTTATGCAAATAAACAGAAGCAGGACCTGAACTGTTTGATATAGATCAGTAGTGATTGAAAATACGAAGTTTAGACTTTTATTTGCTTTGAAAACTAATCAACCAAATAAATTACTTTCCAGTTGTTTGCGTCAGACCATATCTTGGCTAATGGTTGGTATGATGTTAAGATGTTGAATATATAATGCCTGAAAGGGGTTGAATGTTCTGATTAATCTTCTAGACCGAGAGCGACTCTCAATAGCCTTTTTTCCCACGTAACAGACTACTAATTGTTCTGTATTGACTGTTGTTTGATTTTATATCAAGACTAATGTAGGTTCAACAGTTTCATAAGAAGCAAATTGAGTACTAACAGTGAACAACAATAAATTGGAAGAGAGACTAGATCATATATCCAAAGTATCCACCGTGATAAACAAGAATATCAAGTGGCAGAAAAACGAATATGCAGTCACCTAAATCATAAAATCTAAGTGCATCAGATGACAACGAGATTAACTCAAATCATAACACTATATGATGTGGAATAATTTTATAAACTTCAATTAAAATTAAACATAAACGTTTTGAAAATATCTTGTGTACGTCCACTGTTGCTTTCATGAGCACCACATCTGCTTGGGACTGATACTGTCATATTACACTACGAATGCCCTAACAACAAAATGATTCAAAGCACGGCAAAATTATAATTGGGTATGTACACGTTATATTCATTTTGAATGGGTCCTTGTTTAGTTACATTTTCACGCTAATGTCGTCCTACACTGAATCGGGGAGAAACTTCCAAAATAGGACGGTGTGCAAAAGTGAACTGGAATAGAACCAACATTATTGATTACTCATAGATGGCTCAGATTTTTTGAATGGGGTGGGGATGAACTAGCTGACTTTTGACCCAGCCATAACTAGATTGTCCTGACTGTCCCAATGCCCATTGCCAATAACTCAAAATAATCATAGGGCAATCTAAGACTTAAAAACAATGGGTAGGATAAGCGATACTAATAATTCAATGTAGTGATTTTAGAAAATAAACCAATCAGATTGACCCACTCAGAATAATATTGGGAGATAGATGAACAAGGGATACCGTCTACAAATTAAATACTCAATCTGACAGGAATAGACATGTTCATTTTGTATGTCTATTTCAATTTGTTTTTTATCCAATTGAAATTTGGCTTCATTTCATCTAAGGTATAAATCGTAACCTACTTCCTATCCTGAGGCCTATAAAATCCCTGTCTTAATTTCAAACTGAGTTAGTCAGTGTGTCCATTTATAAACAGCCCAGTGTGTCAGTACATCATTTCTGCTATTGACCAGACTTTGTTAACCCTTGAGCGAGTGAATTAAGCTTGACAGTAGCCATTCAATCGTTTTACTTACTGAATTTTAACTCGAAAACAAGGTGGTTATGTGTTTTCCCTGAATACCCCCTTCATCACATGCCCAGCATCCTATAAGTTTCAAAAACGTTCATAGAATAAATATTTATCTGAACCTTTCTGCCACCATCACAGATACATCTTTATTGGTTAATTTCCTCAATTGGATTATTAGCTTTGTATTTTCGAATTTCAGTCAGACTCACAAATGCATAAACAATCAAAATTGTTTATAGATCTCCCAATCAATAATTCCTCCATCTTTCTCGAGGATACTTCTAATAATGCTTTATGTGTACTTAAATAATACTATCATTTCATCTTTGACTTGGGAGAGTAGTTCCTTTGTTACGAAGACATAATAAGTAATAGATACACTCATATAATCTGTTGGAAACGTTTACGTCGTTTTTTTTTCTACTTAACTAAGAAGACAATAAAGATCACTGGCAATGAAAAAAGTGGACGATACTAGTGTCATACAATCAACTACTTTCAATAAATCTGATTTCCCAGGTAAGTATAAATGATATTGATTTAGATATTGTTATAGTAATTTTCCTAGATTAATTTTTTCACCACACCTTGGTGTTTCGATTATATAGGGTAACTAGGTTGGTATCCAGTGTACTACCTCTAAAAATTCCATACAACATACTTGTTTTTTCCATGATTATTCAATGAAATATCATTCAGTCACCTATCTTTAACCTAATAATGTTGATTTTAAGGATGGACTTTATGCACAATGAGTACATACATCAATCATTCATTTCCTTATAAGTAAAAATTTAAAATCAGGCAAATGTAAACAGATTAAAATTGTAAAGCTTTCTACTTCATCGTCGGGGTGGTTCAAGAAATGATTTTTTTCTAGTTTTGATAACATATTGAGATAACAATGTGTAGTTTTCGCCTGTTTGTTGTATATCACTGAATAAGTGGTTAACCCAACAGATAGTGCATTTATTATGGATAATTACTGTCTATTAATTACAGAAACAGCGTTCAAATCAAGCATCACTGTAGAATTTTTATGGTATTGTATTAGCCTGGCTTCGAGATAATTCCTTATGTTATCATACAAATCCCAACTATGTAAGAATTCGGAAGGCAACAGGAAGCGGCGACTGCAGTTTATTATTGAATAGCACAGATAAAAAAGTTACGAGCACATCGAGCGAATCGAAGTAGAGAGGCTGTGTACGAGTGAGCGAATACAGAGGCTGATTTATGGGCAAATCGAATCCAGGTGGAGCAAGGGAAAGCGAAAGCAACTAATAAGATTCAAATATATATGGGAAGGAGAACGATTCGACGAGCGATTCTTAAGCGATTAACATTTCAGATAGAATGAATATGTGCATAGGCTGTCATATGTGACCAAACATACACGTTCATACAGACAAGATGGTGACCATAATACAAAGAAATAGACGTTTTGTTACTGTTCGAATAACACTGTCTGTCAAACAAGTTAATAAGAGGGCTCGGAAAAAGTAACTGCAAACAAAATTTATTGTAGGAGAGTTGCTATGGTCTCTTTCGAATTTGTGGTAAAGTTAGTTTATAGTTTAACGATCGTAAATTCAAGCTTTACCAACATAAATATGATTGGACTGGTTGAAGTTATACATTAACACCGTTGGACAGCAGCTCAGTGGTTTATAGGTTAAGCGTTTGCGCACCGGACTGTAGGTGCTCGTTGCTGACGGGTCCCATCCTAGGACGAAATGTCCGTCCAGTTACTCCAGGTTTCCAATGGTGGTCTAACATTGATCCATTCATGATATCAATCTAAAATATTACTATTTAGTAAGTTATCACATGTTTATGCTCTCCATCGTAAGATTGAATAACACCACTGATCCAATCAAATATCGTTTTATAGAACAGACTTATTCTGTCATCGATTAGTTTAGTCAAATGTTAATCACAACTTTGCATTAATTTTATCGTTTATTTTCTATACCATACCCGTGCTGTTAACAAACATAGCATTATGGTCACTTACATAAATTATGGCGTTTATCTACTACTGATTTATATCGCAAATCACTACTAGTGGGGGATCTTTTAAAATCGTAAAGTACTCGTTCTCAACATAACCTATGATACGCATGTTTTCTGATGTGGTGGTGCATGCAACTACATCGTGTTCAGTTGTGATAGAAATGGTCACACAATATAGTGGGTGGATTGAATTTAGGCATTAACACCGTTGGATACTGACTCAGTAGTCTAGGGGTTAAGTGTTCACTCATGAGACCGAAGGCGCTGGGTTCAATTCCCACTTGTGAGATCGTGGATAGTCACTGCTAAGGTGTCTGATATTAGGACGAGATGGTCGTTCAAGTCTTCCAGGTTTTTATTGATGGCTTTACATGGATAAGTTCATGATTTTAATAAAACTCAACCATTTTTACAACTCTATACTGATAGTTTAAATCATTTGAAAACTTTTTATATTATCAGAAGGGGTTTTTGTGGGGATTTTTTAATAATTTCAATAATTGAAATCATGAGTCAATCGAAGCTAGACCACCATTGAAAACCGTTAGATGTTGGCTCAATAATCTAATGGTTAGGCGTTCGCCCACAAGACTGATAGATCCTGGGTTCGAATCTCGCGGGGGGGGGGCGGGATCGGTGATGCGCACTTCTGAAGAGTCCCATACTAGGACAAAACGGCCGTCCACTGCTTCCAGATTTACCATGGTGATCTAGCTTCAATTTACTCATAATTTCAACTATTGAAACTTTTCATATTAAAATCCTGTTGTCTACCAATTAACTGATCAAATCATGTGAATTATTAGCTGTTTTTATTTTAAAAAAAAAAGTGAATTTTAAAGTTCATTATTACAATGAAATGTTACTATAATTTTGATTAAAATAGGTCATTCTTATATGTAAGGTAATAATGGATAATACAAGTATTTTGGAATTTAATGTGAAAAACCTTGTAAATTTTTCATTGATTGACAATCAAAATATAATTTCAAAAAGTTAAATATTCTTAATAGGAAACTGTAAATGTAAATCAGAACATGTTATCGATTAATCAATAATTAATTGCCCCCGAACGCCTTGGTACGGCCGAGAGTGGGGAGAGTCCGCTCTCCCTCTCGAAATACTCTCACACGGCCGCGCGTATACAGCCTCTGCCAGGGAAGTCCTACTCATTGCCTTCTCGTGGCGGGGGTGTTGTTTACGAAAATGAGAGGACGAAAAGCGAACGTCCGGCGCTTTAATCGGATTCCAAACCAATGGTGCACATGGGCTCCAGTATCCTGCGGGAACAAATGGCGTATGAACCAATCGTTGGTCACCGGCTACCATGGGATTGCATCTCCTTACGATGCTCCACTGCCTTGTGGGTTAGACCATTTGGTCAAAGGCTCGGGGTGTGGCCCCCTAAGATAACCACTTGCTTCGGTTTGGGCACCCGGGCAGTATCACAGCCCACACACGTGTGGCGCATATATATTGGCGCTCTCTTGTACCAATATTTATGTGATCAAATAAATAAATAAACAAGATCAATCCTTTCATCTAAATATCTACACTATCATACATAACTTTTCATGTTGCTATATGATCTCTCTAATAAAGGAAAATTGGGTAGATTCGTGTACATTTTTTTTATAGAATAGATAGTGTAGATTTCATTTACACTACTAAAAATGCTTATTGATATCAATCATTATTAGGGAAATACTTTTTGGTTAACTAATACTCTCGTATCTTTAAGCATACAATGACTTTACATTTATGCATATCCACTCTTCAATACGCGTTATGTTTGTAATGTCGACAATGCTGAAGTATATAGAATAGTTGGCGTCCATCTAAATAATGCTTATCATATTTAAACAATATCGCGGTTACAATGACATTCTCAACTTAGAACCTCAGAAATGAGGTTTAAACATTCTGGAAGTTTCACTTTTGAATTATGTTAGAGCCAAATCTTCTTAAGTATTATTACCAAGTTTAGACTTGATCATTTCAAATAAATTGAACATTGGATAGGATGTTAATAACAAAATAATGATATGTTTATTATATCCCAGTGATTAGAAGTTAGAATATTTGATGTTTTGTGACTGAGCGTAAGTTACTTCTTCAGAGTAAATCAATAACCAAACTAAATTAACACAAGTTCAAATAGTATAGCGGAATAGGTAATATATTTAGTTCACTCAGAGTCAAAATAAAAATACACCTAGTTATTTCAATGTCATGTTTGGCAAGTTAATATTACTTGGGTCTCAGTTACTCACCTTTATAATTGGAAAAACATTCCCAAATTATTTCGATAATTTTAATGTCGATTTGGTTGTTAAAAATGATATGTACTGCTATTAGTGACTTGATTAGTAGATTTTCCAGTTCTAGATTTTATAATAATCAACCGTGGTCACCTTATAGCACACTTCATCTTAGATTAGAATTAAGACAAGGTATGGAAGTTCCTTACTCGATTTAGAGTTATTAATATGTAAGCTGTGTTAATAAGCTCTATATTTTTGAGTTTATTCGTATTGGTTGTCCGATGAATCAATTATTGATTTCTTTTTTGATTCTCAAGCTGAAAATGATGTTAACTGTAATCCTAATCCATCCTCGAGTTTAAAGAGAACCGCTTGTCAAGCTGGGTCTTCTGAAGATAACGGTGATCCAGAATATGCTCGGAAAGTAATAGTTTTGGAACCTGAGGTAAGTTTACTTCTAGGTGCTACAGTTTCTAAAATGAATATTTAAAGTTCTTTCTAGTGGTTATTTATGACTCTCATACTAAAAATGTAGTCCATATTCTGATCATAGATTCAAGTTAGTACTTAGTGATTGAGAACTGATATTGGTCGATATCAAGAAATGGTTGATTTACAGTGTTGAATTAACTTTTCTGTAATTTATTCATATTTCATTTATCTCACTCATACTAGTTTTAACTGCAGCACTGAACAATTAGGGGTTAAAATCTCACTTGAAATTCACCATACTAAAATCGATTGTTTGGTAGCTAGTACGAAAATATGTAGCTTCTTACCGACTTTAGATCTCTCACTACTCAGAATCATTTTAAGATAATTAGGTTTCTGTTGTTTGTCGAACCTGTTTAATTTTTTCTTTTATTGTTTATAGGTATCTAGTGTTCAACAGAATAGTGAAATAAAATTGCCTGAAACAAATCAGAACACTTTATCTGAACCGACTGTCACATCCACCTCTTCAATCTTGAATACAACAACCAAAGTTGTAGTATCTAACACAATCAGTTCAACTAACAATATCAAATCAATTGGAACAAACTTACAAAATAATTATGGATCTTCTCCCAGTGTTTCTGTACATCAACCAAGGCAGCAACAACAAACGTCAGAAAAGACATCGGCGAATACTACACCTAGAACTAGTACACGTAGACTTCATGTTTCGAATATTCCTTTCCGGTTTCGAGAAGCTGATTTACGGTCTTTATTAGGTGTAAGTCTAATCAGATTGCCATGTTATTTTGTCTCAGTATAGAACCTTGTGGAAAGTTGTGAGATAGTGATCTATGTCTAATAATGTATGGTATTAAGAAGATAATAACTCATTTACAAAGTGAAGTTTAATCATAATTGTACTTCGATCATTTAAGGTTATAAGTTTCGATACCAACTTAGTAATTAAGATTCAGATCAGGGAACTCAACAATAATCAAAAACTAGTCATGAAATAAAATGTAATTAAAAGAAACGAAAAGATATGTTGGCTAATTGATAATAGGATATATTGAAGTTAACTGATGAAATATTCGGGACAAAATAAAGTTTTGTTGCATCTGTATCACTGAGTTCGATTCTGGTCTACATCACTGTTAAGTTTTCAGTTATCTTTATGACTTACTTTATTACAAAGTAACCAACATAAATACAAAAATACAATATCGACACAACTACTTCATAAGTTTGAGAGAACTGATTAATAGGTTCATAATAAATTACCGTAACTTAAGCGGTTACAAATCATAACAACATCAAAAGAATTGTACTGGTAGGTGGTATTTTTGAAGAGATTACGAGTTCACCTAAGTCTGCGAACGGAACGAAAACTCAGCGACACAACGGCCAAATAAGCTAACTATTCTGATGCGTCCCAGCCCCGCATTTCCGGGTTCAGAAGAGGCAAAACGTATCCCACAAGCAGTCAGAAGCACGAACAACAACAAGCACAACTCAAGAGTATATATACAGCATAAAAATGTTTTTAGAAAACGTTACAAAATAACATATTAAAATAAACAACGAACCAATGACATTTGAGGTCCTCCCAAGTGGGAAATATGATATACAGGTGAAAATGGGCACTTTTAGCGCGAAAACAAGAAATTCAAATTTCCAAAATAAAATTACAAAAATAAGACATTTAATAAATGAGTTCTGCGGATCTCCAGAGGTACTGTAATTCAATCACTTGATAATTATTAGACAAAAGTATAAATAATAACTTCAGTCATATGGGATATTTCCAAAGGTTCAGCGGGAGCTACCTTAGATAGTCATGGGCTCAAGTTGCTGAGACCCAACTTTATAGTAATCAAGATAAAAAATTTGAGACAAGAAATGCAATGTTAAAAGATTTAAATGTTTTTTGTTCGCTTCTTTTAATTCACTCTTGAGATACACACTTCACAAAGTATGAAGTGTATGAAATGGGTTAGTTGTTATTCTGAAGATCATATTCCGTTATTTGTTAACTCACATTCTATTTAGGACAATTTAGCATATAATTAATGTTGAGTCAAGTAATTACAGTGTTTATTATCATTTGTGTCCAGTACACGAATGAAATATTCACCGAAACCAATTTTATATTGTCATAAGACATCAAGTTAATAAACGTTTTTTCTTATTTCAAAGCCTTTCGGTCCGATATTGGATGTTGAAATAATTTTCAATGAAAGAGGTTCTAAGGTAAGTGTAGTTTTTGCATCCATCTGTATCTATTGTCTATCGATACTTATAAATATCAACAATCACAATTATTCTCATTAGTTTACCGGTTGATCAGCAAACTTTAGATCATAAGATACGTACTGCTGGGGGAGAAATGATTAAGTAGAGTTGTCTTACGTTTTTTATATTTTCAGTGATTATTTGTTTTATATAGTTTGTTATGAATCTGTCATAGACTAACCTGAAATCGGTTTTCCTTTTATCCATTGAGGTCGAAGTTTACATAGACATTTGTGAAGTAGTTTGGTTTCTAACATCTTCGTGATCAGCTAATCTCAGATAGCTGATTCAAATTTCGGTTCATCAGAATACTACATAGGATTCTGAATCGTTTCTATCAGAACCTTAGCATTTGTACCATTTAATATTCAGTTAACATATTCAAACATACTTGATCTACCAGCTAATAAGGAGAATAATACTCAACTCCAAAGTTAGGGAAAGAGATTATCCAAATATATGCCTCAACGGTGACACCGCAATTACCAGTATCACCCAATCATTTCCTATCTTGACAGATCAGTGTGTTAGACACTTGTGGAAATATTCCTTCTTGACGTTTATCCTGGATTTGCTTCGAAAGATATAAAAGCCTTCATGGATAAACCATGGAGATAAGAAAAGTGAGATGTTAAGAAAGAAACTTAAGTGAGTCGCCCAGATTTCGATAACGATATTTGCAGATGGTATTCATCACTCATTTATCCTTTCTCAGTTTTTATTCAAACCAGGGCGAGCAGGAAAACTGTTTCGTCTGGTTTTCCCAAACGAAAATAATCTTCACAAAATAACTTCGTTCTAACGATAATATTTATGATTTTGCGGTTTCGTATGTCATATAATTATTATTGCAATACCTTTTTACCTTAAGGGTTTTGGGTTTGTTACATTCATGAATGCAGCTGATGCAGAGAAAGCACGCGAAAATCTTAATGGGCATGTCGTAATGGGTCGGAAAATAGAGGTAAAGACTTTTTACTGGTAGCAACATGTTTCGTACTCCTTATCGTTGTTTTTTTGGCGCACTTATTTTTTATAACCTAAGATTGAGGCCCAGTGAACTGGGGAAAGATTGGTGACTTTGTAAATTTAAGTTGACCTCGGTAAGCTTTCATCAGGACAGTCATGCTTCTTCACTAATCGGAACGTTAAAACTCCAACGTAAAGCAGAGTTATAGTTAATGGTTGTAGTTTGTTTTTTGGGAGGTTCTCTATTAACCACTGACCATAGCACACGCACATTGGTTGATTTCTGACGATAATGTTTCGTTTTAAATATATGCTACTTAGAAGTAGTTCGGAAATATTGTCAGTAATTTTTAAACATTGGGTGAGATCTTGGTGGCGTGTCACCTTACTATGAAAAAGGCCAGTGTATGTATAGGCATACAAGATAGGTAAAATCTTGACATTTATGTTAAATGTTTTTATTTTCAGTGGTAAATTTAAAGATCTATTTCAATGCAAGCCATACTACTCTGTTTAGGGTCAAATGTGTGAAACAGAAATCAGATAGTATATTGATATTCAGATTTTGTGAACTGGATTAGAAGTAAGGGCTGATTAGTTTCATAATATGCAACTAAACTTAGTAACTATTTGATTGCTTTCACGTCTTGTGATGAATATTCAGCAGTATTTCTATCAGAAGAATCATGAGCTTCTTATTGTAGCTTCTGAATAAAAACACCTCCATCCTCTATTAATGCAATCATTTAAAATATATTTACATACTCTCGGATACGGTTCCTCTTCACTTATTCTCTTCCATTTTCATTATATGTTCAATGTTTAAACTTCAATGAAGTTCGATTAATGCATTAGAATAAATATTAATCAAGTGGTGTTTCAGGATGTAAAAATGCCCTACTGGTGATTTCTTTGAGTTTTTATCAAGCTGCATGAATGGAAGTGTTCGTCAAATGTCTCTGAGACATTAACTTTCTGGACACTTAAAAGACGGCTAAGAAAAAAAACAGGAAGCCTCATGTGACTTTTTATGTAAGGATTATCATGGAAGCATCCTCATTTCATACATTGGTTTCAGCGACACCAAATTAATGATTACGTCCATCCAAATGTATAAATAATGGGAGAATCGGGATTTATGAAGTTATTTGTTTGTTAACTGGTGAAGAGAAAGTTAGGACCTGATAATTCGGTTTGTGTACGGACATGAAAATATCATCAGAAATAAAATTGGTAAAACTGGGTGAAAAATAGCGTAACAATAAAGTATATGGGTAGGAGATGTTTTAACGAAAGCAAATCATATAAAATACGCCTAAATGATTAGCTAACTATTTTCATCTGTGTATTATTTAATTGCCTTGACATAATAATGGTAATAATAACAATAGTAGTAATAGTAATGGTGGAATGTTTGAAATATTTCATAAATTATTGGGAATTGTCAGTGGCAGTTATACACTTCTACTTGGTCATGTTTAATTCTCTCACATTTATGTTGATTTTCTATGATGAGTCGCTTTGTCTTAATATACAACTAGTCATTCATTTCAAGAACAAATAATATGGCAAACTAGTCCCCAATCATGTCGTTTATTATCTGTTACAGATTTATGTTTTTTCCATGGACCATAAACAGTTCATGTAAAGTTCATTATAAAAAGTCGATTTTGTTCCCTGTCTTAGTTTGGGTACCCATAAAACTTTTTCTAGCCTACTTTTACTCTATGTTTCCTGTTGAAGTGTGTGCAAATTAGCCTTATAAGACATAGTTTCCAACACGTGATGTCATCTAGTTTCATCAACAAACTTTTAAAGACGTCACAATTGATTGATGCAACTATCTAGATAAGTAGGATGTTTAATACGGTTTTTGACATATAGTCAACCTTGCTCATTTACCAGATTCTAAGAAATGTTTCTGAAGTCTATCCAACTTCAAAAACTGCATACCTTTGAACTTTATCTATTTTTATTTTTCTAAGCTCCTTCACTGAGAATTTAAATCGACTTTGTTAAATAAGCTGAAACTGTAAATGTAGAATAAACATGATTTCATATTGATTTTTCTTATACTATATTCTTAGTAGGGTAAAATTTCAACTTTTCGCTATTAATCTCATTCTATCACTTAGTAATTGGAACATAATATAACTTTGAGTCTCAACAATTAAGTAATTTGTACTCATAAATCTTTCGTCTAATTAATTACATAACCATCCCAGTTTTCTAATGGGATTATTTCAAAACTAAATTTTCTCCCTATCATTACAATACGAATGTTATGTTAAATTAAAACGGTATCTCATCAGTTTTCAGTCTATTTTTTTTTTCCAAATTCAATTTAAATTTCGATTTACACTTGATCAACTATGTTGAAGTCATTTCATCCAGTTTATTCATACATTAGTACTATATGAGAATAGTTGTATTTTCCAAGGTCAATTGCATGCAGAAGGCTATCTCAGGTTTTCTGGACTGATGCATATATATATGAATAGTTCGACAGTGTATATTAATTAATTTGGGTTGCAAACTTCCATTCAAAGTGATGAAACTAGGAATACTATTCGTTATACATTACTGACAAGGGTGAAAAGGATCAATTCACTATAGGGGCAAGGCAAATGAAAAATGCACACTAACTGATGAAAAATTGTTTACCATATATACTGTATAAAAACCTCAAGCATATTAAAACAGACTTATGGACGAAAAATATTCCTTCCGATAAATTATCCTCAAGCCCTACAGTTGTAGTGAAGGAGAACAGGTGAGGACAACCGAATTGTATTTAGCACCAAATTACAGAGTTACTTGGTAAAATAGAAAAACCATATAGTAAATCGTTAATTTGCAAAATATGAATGCATCATATCAACCTGGACTGTTCCTGTTGCAAACATCAATCCATTGTCTCACATTTCATTGTTCATGCGTTTTCTTACAAATTGCATTGTGTTGTCGCTCTTCCTTTCTTGATCTTCTCCCATCTTCTGCTGCCAGACATTGCGTTTTTAACTTGCGTGATATACTACTTCGATATAAGTAGCACGCACCATACAGTTACTAATTTAAATTAATGATTCAAAAACACGGTGAGGTTTAAGACAAATATATCTTTTGAAATTACAGCATGAATCCATGATATTTCTTACCTAATTCATAATATTTTATACTGTACAAAATCATGGATCGAATATCTGGCTATTTCTCACATTCTATTTTATGTATATGTATTCTGATTATTAGTTCCATTATTTCAATTCAAGTACAAATGTATTCAAACATTAGGCTAATAACTTATTAGTCATTTGAACAATAACAATCTTCATAGTTTAAATTACAAACTAATCTTAGCTTAATCACCATTGAAGAAAACTATACAATCTGTACAAATTCTCTCTAATTAACAATTTTGTTTTATTTTACAAACGTTTGTGAGTTCATATGCTATGATTTTAAACGGTACGTTTATCATTCGATTTGAGCATTTTCTTAGAGTCATTAATTTGGTCTTGTAGGTGTATAATTTAAGTTTAATTTATTCCTTAATGTATTTGTATTTATTTCATAGTCAATCAATAAAATACCAGAAATCAATCATGCAATAAAATCCTAGTTACTCATAAGTAATATAGTTAGACCATAGTAATCTTATAAGGATTTCTTTTGAATTATAGTTGGGATGACCCTATATATGTCTAAACTAGTTTATCAGTTGTTAAGGATCAATATATCTCGTAAATTTCTTCGTTTATACTAGTCAGTGTTAGAAGTACGCATATTAATTCCTTGTTTTCTATTAAATCTGAATGAAACATTTATCCTTTTCAATCATGAATGACTTGATATTTACTCCTTCATAATGAAGCAATTCCTAGGACGAGAATCGTTGGCATAATTGTTCTTTTTTGTTGATAATATTGAGTTATCAGTTGTAATAATTATGTTAATATTGTCATTTTCTGTATTTAATAAAATGTTCACATTATCCATTCCAAATGGTTTATCTTTTTCATGGTTTTTCAGGGACACATGCCTAATTACAATCATGTTCTTATATCTGGCATGTTAACGTAATAACACATTCATATCACAAAAAAATGTACTTTGCTGTGCACTTTAGGCCTGAAGGTGATTTATATGTTCTTTGAGATTTTGCATGTTTGTATGGATATGTATGACTGACAACTGCATTTCTGAATGACTTGTCTTATTTAATATATTAGTTTAGGTAATCATTTGTTTAACACAATAATTCTGTGAAAATCATAAAATGATGTTCTCATTAAACCGTTGAAATTGTTCTCTATTTCCACTCATTTGGATCGCATGCGCTACAATTTAATATATTGCTTTAATAGTTCTAGCGTTATTCTTTCCTTGAAATGGAAGACAATGAAATCTATTAATGAAAAAAATTCGATCTTTTGTCAGGCGTTCAACAACTTATGTATTACATAATGACATAATCTATAATCACTTGATAGTAATTTGCTTGTTTCATGGACACCTGACTTAAATCTTGCTTGGAAGTTGATTTCTTCAGCCGCATCCTAATATGAATCATCCACATACTGATTCAAAGTAAAAAATTGTGTTGAATATACAATATATAACGAGCCTGTTCCCTTCTTCTCGCATGTCTACTTGATAACTGAGCATAGTTTGGGAGGTTCCTTTTTATTTTCACATACTTTAAATATACTTTCTTTTTGGTGTGTTTTCCTATTTATTTCGGTTGTCTGCATGGAATGCTGCATAGGCATTGTATGTGTTTCGCCTTGTCTATCCGCCTTACCTTAATCCCTTCCACATACACTGATATTGACACATTTAATATACTCTAATCTTTCTGTTTCACTCACTACATTACTGATTAGTAATATATTTTGCTTATTCGCTTGCTCACTAATCGTCAGTCTAAAACAAATACTACAACTACTCAGTCTATTCATTTCTTGTCATCAATAATTGAAAGAATATTCTGTTCATTTGTCTTCACATTTCTTTTTTTGTATGCCTATATGTATCCTGTAAGAAGCACATTCTATTTGAATGCACTTAATGTGTCTGGCTTAATAATATTCATATATGCCCATACTTATTCATTCTTATATCTCAAATAAAAGTAATCTTTTGTTCAGTTACCTGGTTTTATTTCTATTGTATGCATTTGAACAACTTAATGTTTCGGCAGTTTTAACCGAAGAAGAGTTTTGTTTTACATATGAAATTTATGGTGGGTAAGTTGATTTGTTGTAGTTGACCGCTTCAGATTTTAGGATAAAACTAATGTTAAGTTATCATATTCGTGTGAGCATGCCAACTTGGAAATTCCCCAACTAGTTTCTTTGTTCTTAAATACCACATTCGTACTTCGTCTTTGATTTCTTATCTGCTTTCAAAATAGTAACCTTATTAGGAGCGCATGCGTTGTATAGAAACCTGCATATATAAGGTATATTAATTTGGTATGCACTATTCTGCAAAATTTCAATCTTAGTTTTTCTTGTTTGAATCCTACTCATCTGTTACTTCTCTTTTGGCAGACAGGTAATAAAAATTTTTTAGCTGAAAAATCCGGTTGCAAATTATTGATTCTACCAATTGAATTTGTTATAATACTTATTAATAATTAATTGCTCCGAGTGGGCAGCAATTGATGATTACTTTCCCATAATATCTACCTGCTTCGGTTTGGGCACCCGGGCAGTATCACAGCCCTCACACATATCGAATGACATTTGTGTGGCGCATATGTATTTGGTGCCTCCTTGTACCAATATCCCATAATATCTAATATCCCAATGAATACTTATCTGTTTGTGCAAAGTACAACTATTTATACATACTTTGTGACCGATGTAAAGCCACAGTAGAGAAATAGCTGAATAATCTACACTAATTGGTCTTACAACAAGATAAACTATTCAGTGGAATTATTCCGACCATACAGCTGCTTGACCTATAATATAAAGTAGAAAAAAATTTCATTTCATCTTTCATTAGTCTAAAATGTTCGATATATGATTAATTGACCATCTGTTGGGTATGTTGGGTAAATCTGTGTTCGAATCATCATTGTTTCCAAAGGATTGCTAGTATTCAGAGGCAACACCATGTTGAAAATATAGAGGTTTCTTTGGGTACAGTAACAATAATTGAATTAATGTAACTATCTTGAAACTCCAACTTTGGTGGCTTGAACATATGTTATGATTTCCATATTGTACCTTATTTGTCTGGTACTTGTTGGAGAAAGTATATGGGTGGTTATTTTATGATGTAGTGACAAGGTATAAAAGAAAGCTGTACAAGAATGAAATTTATCTTCCCTTCACCTCTTTTTGGTTGTGGTTCGAGAAATGTGGAAGTTCAATGACTTGAAATATCAAACTAAACTCAGAGTGGAAGTCAATACCGATCTTGCTACAATTTTCTTTTACTTTTTTTTAAAAAAAAGGATGAGAGGAACTCTAACCAAAATTAGATAGTTCTTTCGTTCACTTATTTTTATTCATTTGTTGTTTTTAATTATACTTACCCTTTTTGCTCTATCTTTTCACAATTTCGTTTTCTTATTGCGTGGCGTATGTTTATTTTGGTTAATTTATTCTTTTACTATGTCCTGGTGATACACATTATGACTGAATAATTATTGGTATATCTTTTTACCATTCAGTAATAAACAGTCTGTTAATTTTAAATATATCAAAGAGTTATGTAATATAGATATTCCAGTTGGAACTTATCATCTGTTTTGAGTCATGATATTTAGTATACTTATTTGATGCATTCTATGAAATATAGATATAAAGAAACTTGTGACTATCCTCATCTTTCCTCTTCTTTATTATACTGAGATCTTAAGATTCAATGGATATAAGTGAAAGAATTATCTTTACTGATATACCGGACATAAAAGTTTGATCATCAGTAAGAATAAGATTTTCATGATAGGAACATGCCTTAAACATACACTCTACTCGCTAATTTAATCTCTCATATAATTTGAGCTCTGAAGCATGATAATCGTAAGTGATTTATTTTCTATTTCAAATTAAGTTTCATTTTATTTTCCATTCTTAATTGATTCCTTTAACAAAATCTATAATTATCAACAGTTTTCTATCTTGGTTCGATTTGTAATTATAGTAAAATAATAGTACCGGATATGTGTATGTGTGTGTGTATTTGTTGCAATCATTATTTTATCGTTTGAGGAGAGTTTTAGGGAAAGTAAGCGGTTACAAAATTTACATCTGTTACTTATTTTTAAATGAGATATTTTCATTCATAAAAAAATGTTGTTTAAAATGAAGCATTCACAGATCATGTCAACTCTGTTTAGTTGTATTAGTTATCATTAAATTTGCATGAATGGAGTAATATTTACGCAACTGTGATCACAATATGTTTTACTGAACAATTCTGAGTGTTCTCTACATGGAGGGAAACTTACCTGGGAAATTATACAATCTAAACTTCAATCTGTTTGTTATTAAAGTGTATCTGTAATCTACAGGGGACTGATGTTTTTTCTTGTAGGATTAACACTGGTCACATTTAAAGTAATATGATTACACGAGGAGTAACAGGCGTCAGTAGTAATAGTAAATTACACTCTAATTTGATTAGTAGGAATCAAACAGTATTTATAACTAGACAAGATAATATTACTTACAATTAAAAATAATTGATTAGCGTAAACTGAAAAAGTGTGGGTAGACAGTGTTGCCAAGGTTTTTTTTTATAAAGTTACCCATCTAACCGTACAAAATTTATGTCTGTCGGTGGTTAATAGTTGGTGATTTATAATTTTTAGCAAAATATCATCTCATTCTAAATAATTTTATGTTTTTCTTGTGTGTTTGTATTTTATTAATGAAAATATTTTACTTAAAGCATGTACAAGTTTATTATTTCAGTTTCATTGTGATCACTGGTTTTTTTGGGGGGGGGAGGGTAACTTTCAACCTTCATTTTGTTGAGTCTAACTGAATGAAATGATTGTTTTGCAAGCACTATTCAACCACATATTTATGTGATTTCAGCTACACTGTCTCATTGTTTTTTTTCTTCTTTTAACTGATTACGATTTTCGTGACAATTATAATAATAAAGCGGTAAATCTTGATACTGTGTATAGAAACAGGATGTTTTTATCGTACGGGCTATACTATAATGAATAGATTTCATCTTATCCACTGAGGATTGTTAGCGTAAATGTTTTACTCATTTTCAGATGAAGATCGTCTGAATCTAATCAATTTGATGTTTGTTTACCGTTTTACAAACTGATATCAATAAGTTAATCCTTAGGTAATAAACACTTGATAGAGGATCACATCTTTGTAGTTGAATTTCTGAAAAGTGCTTTAGTCTGTAGTGAATATGACACAGAGAGTAATAGACCACTTCTCTGGTACTCATGTACAGAGCAAAAAACAAAGAAAGTATTTATAAAAGAGCTTCTAGTATCTTGAGAAAAAACACTCGTATGAAAATAACTATTGATTTTGTATTGTTCAAATGATCTTGAGAAAGATGGTAAAGCGTATTCAGTGCAATGAGTGATCTTAACCAGTAAGGAGAAAACACAGAAAATAGTGAATCATAATATCTAGTGTCAATCATGTAAAACGTAGAATAGCCAAACGAAGCCATTATTGAACAGTGACATTGGTTGACTTGAGTTGAATTGTATCTGAGCCATATAAAATTTATGTTTTTACAAAATATGATTGATCAGTACACATTGTACATTATTGTGGATTTTCAAACTACAATAAATCAACTGTTTGATGCTTTCTAATATTCAATGTCATTCATTAGACTAGTTAATAAAGTAAACAGTAGATTAGTCAATTGTTAGGTAGATATATATATTACTTTCTCATCAGATAAAAAATGTTAGCATAAATTAGAAGAACGGTGCAAATGGAAAGAAACAAACAACCTTGACTGTTATTCACTTGAAAGCGTCAATATTTTTTTGTCAATTTACATGTGTAAAAAACCCATTGTCCACTGCAAATATTAACTTTCGATAGTTTAACCTTTTTTTTAAATGTTCAGTTTTTACTTCTTCCTCTGAGTGATCTTCTTTTCTCATTCCTGGTTGAATAAAAAGCATGCATCGGAATTTTGTGAATTATTTATGATACTACTACTTTTACTATTCAGTAGATCTACTATTACTGTTTAATTATTCATAATAATGATAATAATGATTATTCCTCGCTATTTGTTCTTGTTTGTGCTATCGATAAACGTAATAAATTCATTTCTGATAGTGAAATATGTTTACGGTTATGCGTTTTATTAAAAAATTTTAAATAATGGTGAATTAATGTTTGCACAAAACTTTTAGGTAAACCATGCAACTACACGAGTTCTTACAAAGAAGCGTACTGATAATGCAATCTCAGCTGGAGGAAATAAAGGTAACTTAATAGATAGTGATGAACTTATTAATTCTTTCTCTAATACTTCATTAGTACTGATTTGTGAGACATATGTTAAAACCTAGTAGTAGTTACTACTTTTTGTTTTTCAATCTAAAAACATTCATGAAGAGTACATTCCGATGGTACTATAGTTATCATGTTCAGTGTAAACTTACAACGTTTAATAACTATTTATATAGTGATTCCCGTTTTACTGTGTTAATATTTAATCTGATGAATGTCTTTTCTAATTAGCTGATTTTATTTGTTATAACTTTGCATTAGTGAAAGCTCATGTTGATCGGCTTGCTATAACTACAAATCAACAACTGAGCAATGTAGGCAGTCTAGTGATTTAAAGATAAACTCACTTCGTGAATGTTCACTTTTGAAGAGTACAAAAATGAGGTAAATAACTGCTTAGCACTCCATGGTTTCTACGATTGTCCAGCTGATACTAGTTTATATCAAAATGTCCATCAAATTCGTGCTTGCCACTCTAGTGAGTAGGTATTTAAATAAACTTGACCAAAAATGCGGAAAATGTGTTTAGTATTATCCATATTGAATGGTATATAATTTTAATGCAGTATACGAATGTCCGTTAAATTGGATGTACATACATTTTATCTAGTCACTTGAATCAGGTCATTCAATCTTCAATACACGATATTCCCATTATTACCTATTGAAAGTCAACTTATATATTTATATTTATTTGAACACATAAATATTGGTACAAGGAGGCACCAAATATATATGCACCACACAAAACAATGGGAATGGGAAAAGAAAAAAAGGAAGGTAAGGAGCGTAAAAGAAAAAAAGAAGAACAATAACGACCAGATTAGTGTAAAGTAGTGTAATAATAATAATAATGGGGGAGACGGAGAGGTACAACCAGAAGAAATCTTTCAGTTAAGGAAGATACAACCACTTTTTTATGAAGAAGGTAAAAGAAGGTTACAGCACGATCGCCACTGGCTTCTATTCTGAGCCATATCTGATAACGTCTCTAGCCACTGTGTCGCACCATCTCTCAGACCCCAGCCAGGGACTCGTGAAGGACTGACACAAGCCAGCCCTTTGCAGCTTTCTTTCATACCCCGACACCATGTCATACACTGACCACCTCGAAAGTATAAATGTACATATTTGATAGATCGTTAAAGTGACATTTTGAACAGTATATTTCTTTCATTGAAGTTATTTCTTGTTGGATTTCTGGATAAATTGAATTTAACTAAACCCATCTTCATCGCCTTTTTTTCAAAATAAATAAGTGTGGTCTACCGTAGTAATTTCTTTCGAACTATCTCGTTTTGACGTCTTATTTTGACCATTCATATTGGTCATCTTATATTGTATTATAACTACCACAGATATAATCCATGACTAGATTCAGTATAAAGAGAGCTAGGAAGTTCTGTATCTTCAAGTGTCCATTGTTGTTCATTGAGACTGGTTATTTAAACTTTTTCTGGCTGTGATTTGGTTGGTGTCAATAATTATCCAACATTATTTGGAGATTCACTAAAAACCGTTGAGCACTAGAGAGATATTCCATCCTAGCTTTAAATTTGTGATCAGTATGGGTTCAAGACCCTACATGAAATATGATTTAGAACGTTCAGGTCTTGTGGCGAGCATGATACTTCCAGACAACCGATTTGGAGTCCAGTGGTACCCACATATTTTACTTGGATCGACTCGCAAAACTATTACCTTATGTCAACGGCAATATCTATCGAACTTCCATCGTGATTAATATCCTTACGCTTCCCATTTGATTGATATTAGGTTTGTAAGGTAAGATGTCAGTATTCAATTTTTCTACCTATTCAAGTGAAGGAAGAATATAAGTATACCAAACAAAGAAATTGTTTGAAAAGATTCGAAACATATTCTTGATTACTTATCTTTTTGATTGTGCTTAAATATTTCTATTCAATATAAAAATATTAATTATTTTCTAAAATGAAAACTCTTCAGCTTCTAACTTTAACAACCAAAATATTGGATTGAATAATTACACTAGTACTTTGGCTTCCAGACCGCGGATTACTGGGACATCTGTAGGAACTAGTAATAGTGTTGTTGCTGCAGCAATTTCAGCTGCTGCTGCTGTAGCTGCAATGTCAGGTTCAGGAATTGTCAATAATCATACTTTAAATGGACTATGTCATTTACCAAGTTTGCATTCTAGTAATTTATCAGGAAACAATTTAATTTTGAATCAGAATAAGTCATCATTATCACCGTTAACATCATCTACAATATCTACAGTAACATCGACATCTATTCCATCGTTGTCGTCATCAGTCTCATCATCATCATCTGCAGCTCTAGTTAATCTTCTTAAAGCTCAACATCAACAACAGAATTTAGCGGCAGCTGCTACAGCGGTTGCTTTACAACAACACAATCAACTGAATGGTACTAACAGTCAAAATACTCAAGCTTTACTTGCTGCTCTTATGCTTCAAAATCTCAATACTCCCAATCAACTTATCAAACAATCTTTAAGTAGCCTGTAAGTTTGTGTGTATATGGTCAAATAAAACGTTTTAATAACTAGGTGGACTAATTGTGTTTTAATTGATGTTTTTCCATCTATTTTAACTGTTTACCATTGGAGGAATTGACTAGCTAAAAATTAAATACCTCTAATAGGCTATACAATGGGCTTTTTGTATACAGTGAGTTATACATTATGGTAAGAAACCAGTTATAATTATCTTTATGGAATTAAGTGAGCATTTTAAGTATGGCTTATGCAGATGAAAATGAATTGTGATTGGTAAAAAAATAGTTTGTTTTATACATCGGAATTTATGATAGTTATGCTGAATTCTTTTGTAACATCAAAATAACATTGAATTATGATGTATTTCCATGACAATTATGATATTGAATAACAACTAGATACACTACAGTATTTGTATAGGATCTTGCATACTTTATTACGCCTGTTATCCCTCACGAAGGAGCATGGGTCGCCCACCAACATTCTCTATTCAACTCTGTCCTGGATAACCCTTTCCAATTGCCATTCATTCTTTTGATATCTGCTTCCAATTCTCGTTGCAGGGTGTTCTTTGGCCTTCCTCGTTTACGTTTACTTCACGATTCCAAGTTAGCACTTACCTCGTGACGCAGTTTGATGATTTCCGCAATCTATCTCCTATCCACCTCCAGTCCTTCCTTAATTTTACTCTTCAGCTGCTAGCTGGTTTGTTTTCTACCACAGTAGGCTGTTGCTGATGGTATTCGGCCAACAGACATTCAGTATCTTGTGTGAATAATTGTTTACAAACACTTGTACGCTTTTGATGATGGTTTTAGTAGTTCTCCAAGTTTCGTCTCCGTACAATAGAACTGTCTTGGCGTCCGTATTGAAGATTCTGACTTTGATGTCGATTGACAGTTGGTTTGAGTTCCATAGATTCTTCAACTATAGGAATGCTGACCTTGCTTTTCCGCTTGTAGCTCTTCTAGGACTACTACCTGTCCCAAGCACTGGTAAAGGAAGAGGGTTGGACGTGGGATCAGCATCCCTATCCCGTAGAAAACAATCTTGCTAAAAAACGCTGACCAGAATAAATAAATTATTTGTGTAGGATCATTTTCCTATATCTCTCCTAGTTGATCGATGGTTAAATTTCATGAACAAAAGGATAACATGGGTTATTAATTTTACAGATCAGCTGATTATTCATGATATCATTCTTGACCTGTGTACTTCCGTTTTACCATTTATAACTATGATCTGACTTTTCACTTAATTGAAAAATGGAACCACTGAGTCTTCATAAGCACAAAAACATAATTTCAACGCTTATCTTCTATTGTGATAAAATCCTCATACTTAACACTATTAATTTTTTTTTGCTTTAACTACATTCGAAATGTCTTCACTAACTCATTTAGTTATGGATTAATACCTACATTGACAATCAGTAATCTACAGTTGTTTTGAAGCGTAAGAGTAAACTGAACTAGCAACTCAAAATTTGTTCTTGTTGTGAATGGGTTACAGATTCGATAATTAACTATTGGATTATAGACTCAAACTTTATCTTACAGATTTCAGCTTGTTGGTTTGTTTGGTGCAAAATTACAATGTATTTGTAAATTATGAAAACCATAAGTCAAATACTTCATTTGCGCATCTTCTATCAGTTGTCTCTTCCATTCTTCATAATCCTCCCAATTTTATTTTTATTCCAATTCCTTTCTATTTTCCTTTCGGTTCTCTTTAGTTCAATCTTCTCAATCCTCTTTTGACTGGCATTCCACTTGTGTTCGGTGCTAGATACTAATTATATCTGTCAACATTGATAACATACACCACACATATACTCATCCTTAGTTATGAAATCCCATTTATTTTTTTAAAGAATAATAATAAAATATATTCTCTTTCCGTGACTGTTGAATTTGCATAACTTACGGTTTTCAGTTTATATTCCTAATAAATATGATATATATGTTTTAGATTTCAGTTGAGTATTTTAAAAAGTTTTCTGTTAATGAAAACATCTTATATAAACAAAGTTGAATTCACGAGTCAATCTAATCTAGATCACCATTGAAAACCTGGGAGCACTGGACGGCCGTTTCGTCCTATTATGTGACTCCTCAGCAGTGCTTATCCACGGAACGGCCGTCTAGTACTTTCAAGTTTTCTATGGTGGTCTAGCTTTGATTGACTCATGAATTCAACTATTTAATTTATTATTTCTTATTAAATTATAGGATATCTTCGTGAAATATAAGAACCATACGTTAAATACTTCTATTTGCCAATCTTCAATCATTGTCCTTCACATTCAGTATGATTTTTCCGATTCACATTTCCTTTCTGTTTCCCTTTCTGTTTAATTTAACTCGATCTTCTTCTCTTTCTGTTGCCATGCATCCCACTTCTGATTGGTGTTGCATATTACTTATCTGTCAACATAAGTAGCATACACGTCTTGTAGTTTAAACTTTTATGAGATATTTATAATAAAGTGGAAATTTATTGATACCTAGAGAGACGTTTCTTAAAATGCAATTAACTTTATTCATTGAATTTTAGTTCGTTTCCATTAGAGAATGCCGTTTCTAATCTCCCAATTCAAACACAGCCACAACAATCACAGACAACCATGTTCAACAGTAGTAATAGTAATAATAGTAACAATAATGTTAATTATGCTACTAATAATATTGGTACCAACAGTCCTGGTCTAAATCCGCTTACCTTACTCGGAATAAATAATCCAAGCATGAATCAATCAAATATTGGCTCTGATCTATTATTAAGTCCTCAACATATTCGATCATATCAAATGCTGAAACAAACACTTGGGAATGTAAACCCAATTATTCCAAATAACCTTTCTGTAAGTGAACTCTTAAAATATCGTACTGTTTTAAAGTAAATATATACAGTGCATTTTATATGATATCTCTATAGTTCAAATTTGGCGTCATGAAATAGTTATTGTAAAGAAATCGCATCTAATGTTACTTGAAACGAAAACAAAAACTATAATCCATTGAAGCTTATAGGTTATAATGCATTTCTGGCCTGAAAATATTAAACTGTGTGTCTTTATACTGCGCATAAAATAACAATCGCATTGGTCCTATAAAATAACATTATATACAATACTGGAGGTAGTTTTATATAACTTCAAGACGGCAGGGAGTGTATTTACTGTAAATCATTCCTAAGATTGAGCCTCAAACCTTCAAATCTTGTTACAAATAGTTTCAAACTTCATCGAACTGTATGGCTTATTGATATGTCCACTCAAATTTAAGATTCATTGAGTCCTGGACTCAAATCTTCATGTACTTTGTTTTGGACTGTATGGCAGTAACTTCAACTTTCAATATAACTGTTAATCTATATGCGTTTATTGAATTTCATTGAGTTAACTGAAATATAAACTACCATCCAGCGCTACTTCTCGTTTCTGCAATTGGTTTCACCTCGTAAGAACTTTCCTTATGCCCACCAATTAGTGAGATGAATTAACTTCATTGAGACATTTAATTTTTCAAGACAATCTAACACTATACAAATTTCGATAGTATAATGAGTTGACGGAGTTTGCCTGAAAATGTGCGCAATATACACCTGTTCTATCACTTGCAACTCATATGGCTCAAAGTTGAGTAGCATTTCTTATCCTAGATCCTATCGTGAAAATAAGGTTTATATCATGATATTATATATAGAAAAAGAGTCATGCAATATTGCTGTAAAACAGCCATCAAGGAGATATTCTATGCTGTCAAGCTGTACAAAACTTATTACTCCACAAAGACTTTAATGTCGTATCAGTGATAATCTCATATCCTATCACTTTTGCCAGTTCACATCTACATTGTCAATGTACGTGGTGAGGAATAATCGAATTATGCCTGTGAAAATGACTACAGACTGAGTAACACAATCTCAGATATAAGCTCAGAAAATAGGCAGTCATACTCTTCTATAAATCTTTATGCAAAAACAAGATTTCATTCTTAGATTTATGAAAATCCTCTAGTCATTAGATAGTTTCAGTCTATTTTATGCACCTGAAAACAATGTTTTTGGAATTTGAACCTGCTGTTTATGTTATTGTCAAGATATTTTAATGTTTAGTAAATTGATCATGTTGTGCTGCACACTTCAATAAAATGCGATTTTCAACTAGACAAAGTTGTATAATTGATATTCATGAATTATTTGATACCGTATTACGCTTCATACTATGAATAAATTCTTCACTGTCTATTGCACTGGATTACACTGTATTTTTTGTGGCATAGAGTACCTGATAGCTTTAAGGAAAAGTAACCAAGGTTCATTTTTTTCATTGTTGAAAGGCATTTAAACTGATCACCACTTTGGTGGGACAGTCTATAGAGTGTTGTATCAAAACACCCAACTGACTAGATTAAATTGAGATTATCGATTACCAAGTATGGATAAAACTCAAAATCCTGTATCAGCATTGTTCACATTGTCTTTCTACTTATTTATACATATTTATGGTCTGAATAGAAAGTCTCTAGAGAGAGATATCTCAAGTATTTATTACGGTTGGCAGTTTCAGGGAGAACAATCATGTCTAGATACCATTTAAGTTCTGTGGCAAATCACAGCTTTGTAACTTGGTCGTTGCGGAAGTGGAAGTTGTTTTATTTTTTAGAAATTTTGATTGTACCTAGTGTTATAAACGTGAATGTGATGCACTACTACTGTACTGACTAGGTATTGAACCAATTATCGAGAACGTTTTTTTCCTTTTTGTATCCCCATTTTTTTTATTCTGGATGAATACCAGTTATACTTTTACAACCTCCTGGGAAAGATTATGAAGTCATTATGAGAGGATAGCATATTGTCCCATGGAGACAATTTTTTTCCCTATCTATTGTGTTCCTACTCATAAGTATCATATACAATCTAGTTAATAGTTATTATTGTCTAATTTTTCTTTAATTGTTCTCTTTGAATAGCTTGCTACTGCTCCATTCTTAGCTTCAAATCTGAATTTTCCCACGCCACAAATTGCTTTACCGCTAATAAATCATTCTAATAATGGACAAAATTTAAATCTTTTCACATCATCTTCATCACCATCATCATCAACACCAACATCTATTGGATCATCAATTCAATTGGGAACAAATTTAGATTTAAATTCAAATGAAACTAAATTATGGTTAGCTTCACTGATTGGTAATAATAATAGTTGTGTACAATCAGATTTAGGCATAGCTAATAATAATTTAACTAATCAAATTTATCAAATGTATAAATCTAATGCAAATTTAAATGATACTACTAATACTACTACTAATAATAATAATAGTAATACATTATTGAAAGTTAATTGTTTGTCAAAGCCACAATTGAATATCAATGAAAATAAAACCAATTCATCAAATACATTGACAGATACTACAAATACTGGTATTTCACAAATTCATGATAATCGAAATAAAAATAACGAACATACTTTAACGTAAGTGAATATGAATTTTAACTATTTTTGTTTCATTTTGTCTATCAATATCTATCGTGTACTAGTTGGAAAACCCAGTAATTTATTCGATTGATATTTCTGTTGTATATTTTCTTCCACATTTCTCATCAATTAACATCCTTGATAATTATTGTGCTCAAATGTTCAGATATTACAGTGACTTCTTGTTAGCGGGACATAGATTGGATTAAATCATGCTAAGTCCGCGCTTGCGTTCGTGCATGCTGATTGGATAAGAATTAGCCAATCAGTGTTAGTCACTGCTTAGTGAAGATTCCAGAAATATCATGTGAAAAAAACTATAAATATACCAACGTTTTTCCCTATTGGGCTTCTCATTTCCATCTAACCTAGTTATTTGGAATACAATCTCTTTCCTGTGCAACTGTGTTCTGATTTGGGGACTTGTCAAGTGAACTGGTGTCCGAGAATACCAGCCATAGGAATAGCTGCGTCATACCGTAAGAAAGAGATTATAACACTTCTTGTTAACCTTGAAACTGTAGTCAACTAAATACAATTTTGTATTACTGGAAAAAAAGTCATTTATTGAAGTCATGGTCATATAAATAGTGTGATGGTTCTGTATGTTCAGTTTTAAAATTATTTGAATGGATACGGTACAGTAGTAATTCCAGTTTAGTATGCCAGTTATTCATCTCTTTCTAATTCTCCACAGTTATTCTATATACATTGACTTGTATTAGAGATCATTTGTTTGTTTTATACTTTTTAGTATGAGATTAGATTTTTTCGATGATAGTGAACCCTGAAAAGTTAGTCTACTTGATCTGAATATTTTGTGTACGTTTTGAAAAGGATGTTTTAAGTTATTTGAGTTTTCTTTATTCAGTGTCTTGTGTGTGATTGAATGGATTTATTAGGTATAATTTCTAATGGTTTATCTAGAGGTTGAAGGCTATAGGTTTCTGATCATAAATACCTTTAGAGTATTACTTGCGAATAGTGAAATGACCGAATGTGCAATGTTTGATACTAAGAGTAGGGTACTGGGTAAATATGATAAATGGCTTGATGAGGTTGTAAATATCCACTGAGGTGTTTAGAATATGTGTCGCGTATCCTCAACCACCTCCTACGAAAACGGGCGATGTTAGTTGGTGTAGAAGTAGGTCAGAATGTAATTCAGTGTGTTCAAACCAAACACATGACATCAGTTCATAAAATCAGCTGTTGTTGTTGGTCTGAGCCATGGTGGTAGATAAAGACTACTTGATTGAGGTTCACACGATAATCACGATCAATAGTTGAAAACGTTGTAGGCGGTGACTCATAGTCGATCAGCTCTTTATTTTCTTCCAAATCTTCAGCTCCCAACCATTGCTGCTATCTTGATGTGGTGGTAGGGTTTCCCTATCGTGATGAACCAATCAAGCTATACTAACTGGAACAATCATTCCTCAAGATCTTGCCATGCCAGATAGATCGGTTGAAGAGTGGTAAGACTGGAAGCAGCAAACACAAAGTCCGAAGGTGAAGTCGCACTGTTGACTGCACAGAGCTATGACGGCACTGAGATATTTCCCTCAGACAACCAGCATAATAGCGATGCTGTCTTGCCACAAAGGAGGGGTGGGGTTAGAAAGGTTGACCCTAAAAGTGCACTGGCTGACCTCATCTTATCCCACTGAAATCCGTCTCTGGCGCTCAGGTCCCAACAAGAACGGTGCTAACACGAAAACTACTCACAAAAATGTATGTGATTAATCTCAAGTGGTTGTCCCTTGAGCACTGCGGTCACGCTCTCTGGTCATTCGGTTCAGCTATAACCCAATTTCCTTTCTAGGTGCCTCTGGAAGAACTTTCCCATGATGTGGGCAACCTGGAAGTGATAACCACCCTCATACCTCCAACAGCGCTCAAGATCACTGTATTCATAATCAATCTCCTTTTTCAATTCCTATTATTCCTCCTCGTCGACTTCCAATTCCAAATTTCCTCTTTGAACTTCGTCCTCATGACCGACGATTATAGTGCGCGAAACACTGTTCCCAGGTCTATTGAAACCTCGCTCCAAGCTTCACATTGGAGCCTTCAACGTACGCATCCTATGCCAAATCGGTCAGCAGGCTTCCTTGGCTAGAACCCTAGAATCTCATATCATTGATGTATAGTGTGTCTTCAAAACACGCATACAGAATCCTAATGCGGTCATTCACTTCACCTCACCTCGCCCAAACCTAGAGCTGACGAGATGCACTCTCCGTTTATCTGGCGACCCGATGGCTAGTTCTCGTGGACTGGCAGGTGTAGGTATAGCACTAAGTACGCGGGCATAACAAGGACTATTAGAATGGATCCCCGTTAACAGTCGCTCACGTGCTGTTCGGCTAAATGGCTCTGTAAGAGCTCAGAAGGATAGTGACACACGTTGCTTTTCCGTCGTTTCTGCCTATGCTCGCACTGACTGCAGCCCGGATAAAGTGAAAGTTGACTTTTACAGAAAGCTTCTTGAACTTCTTCATAAAGCTAAACACTCATACATAGTACTCGTAGCAGGTGACTTTAATGCCCAAGTAGGTAGCTTATACCAAACAAAACGACATTTAGATTTGTATTTTAATATCGCGACTCAGCGAACAGATAATAGTGACTGTCTGCTGCAACTGTGTTCAGACAATTGTTTATTCCTAACAAGCACTAATTTTAAGCATAAGGAGACATTGTCTAACATGACGATCCCCTGCATCAAACCACTGATGTACTCGAATAGACCATATTGCTATCAGTCATCGTTAGAGAAGCTTGCTTAATAGAAGACTATCACTCGTTCTGAAGTACATTTTTAGATTAACCATGCTTCTAATAGTAGCACGCATTTAATTGTTCCTCACTGGACGCAGGAAAGCCACATTGAGAACACTGATTGGAGTTGAACTCGGTGATGGAAAAGCCAAATGTAGATTCCAGGAACAACTGAAGTCACACTTGGGCAATTTTGAAAACGAGGCTGACCCAGATTTTGCCTGGAATGATATGTGGACAGCTGTGTAAATAGCAATGATATCTATTGCACTGATAGGTTTTCATAAACTTATCCCATCAGACTCCAAACACGATGAAGAGCGGTAACAAGCCAAATCTAGGTTAACCAAAAGTTTACGGGACGATCGTGAGCAGTGGTGAGTAATAAAAGCGAAAAAGCAGCGACTGTAGGTAACACAAGACAGCTTTTCAGGCTAATAAAAGAAACTGGAATAAGAATTCGAGTGTGAGACAATCTTGGAAAGGGACTTCATTCTTATATACTCTAAGTCTAGACGTTTAAAACGATGGGCGGAGCACTTAAAAGCAGTTCCGTTGGCCTTCAGCTACCCACCATTTCCGAGCATCCTTATTAATGGAACATTGAACTGCCCCCCCCCGACTATAATTGAAGTTAAAAATGCTATAGCTAATCTGCACCAAGAAAGAACAGCTGGCCCAGTTTTAGAGATTATGTCGACTAATATTCTAGCTAAAATCTGGGAGTTAGGTTTAATCCCATTTGACTGGTTGCCATCCCTGATCGTCCCAGTATATGAGAACGAATCAAGATCATCCTGCGATAACCATAGAGGGACTAGTTTAACTAATATAGCACCTAAAATACTGGTCTCAATAATTATCGGGTGCCTAACAAAGACTCGTGAAGTGCGAACACGAGAAAATCAAGCTGACTTCAGACCTGGTCTTGGATGCATCGACCACATATTCACCATTCATCAGGTTTTATAACATAGGCATGTTTATCGGCGTCTGAGCATGATGGTCTTTCTTGACTTAAAAGCAGCATTTGACTCCGTAGACCGCGAGATTCTGTGGCAGTGTCTGACATTGAGAGGCGTACCTCAGAAGTACATAAACCTTATGAAGGCTCTTTACTCAAACATCACTAGTCGAGTCAGAGCTTATGGCGAACTGTCATCTGCTTTTGCAACCTCAAGTGGTGTCCGTCAAGGCTGTCCACTTTCTCCATTTTTGTTTAACTTCATCATAGACATATTGATAGAAATAACACTCTCGTCGACTGAATTCTCGGGTATTGATCTCCTACTAGGAGGTCCACTTATCGACTTAGAATACTCAGATGACATAGTCGTGTTTGGTGAAGACGCTGATAAAATGCAGTTTTTTGGTAAATCAGTTGATAAGTTTGTGAATCTTCTCCGATTGAGATGGTCGGGCCACGTATTACACATGCCAAACCACTGACTACCATGGCGCGCATATATATATATATATATACTTTCGAGCGCGACCTATTATGCTGTTTCTCCGGAGGGTTTATTTATTCTCTGAGGAGTGAACTTGCGCTAATTTACTGAACGTCAGGAAGTCAATGTTATACTCATCGCGATTATTTTAGTGAGGCGAATATTGTAAGATTTTGGACTTTTTAAGGATTATTATCAATATTATTACAAATATATCATTATGCTTTCACGATTGGTAGTTTTTCTCAAGTAAACAATATTCACACTAAACTTGATCAAGAACCACTTACTTGGATAAAGAGAAATTTGATTCTTATTACAATCGTCTTATCCGCTTATTTTTGTTGTTTTTGTCTTTTTTTTCTAAAGACAAAGTCTTTCCAATTCAATTAACACTACAAAGAGTAGCGTTTCAAACTTAACGAATGTTTTTTCAACACCTGGAAACACACTTACAGATGCCAATAATCTAGTCAATGTTGCTGTATCCTCTTTGAATCCATTCAATTTTGGATTAACTCCATTAACTGCGATTCCTTATAATCCTAATTCATATATAAATGGTACTGCTGCTAGTGTATTGACTGATTTGTTTAACAGTGTTCCAATACAACAACAAACATCATCTCTGTCAAATAATTCCGCTTTATCTGGATTTGGTTCAACCAATTGTTTTTGGCCAATCATTCCATCGGTATCCAATCTTACTGTTCCTGCTCCTGGTTTAACTACGCCATTGGTGATTGGAAGTCAAAATCTTTATCGTAATAGTGCTACTACCATACCTCGTTTCTCTACTTACTGATGTCCACGCAAATCTTTCTCTCTCTCTCTCTCTCTCTCTCTCTCTCTATATATATATATATATATATATATATATATATATATATATATATGCGTGTGCATTTAAACATTCCGCCATTGAAAGTTAAATATTTTCTTTCCTTAATGAATAATTTTTTGGTGAACAATTGAAATTCTTGATTTTGTTTTTCTTTCTCATTAAACATATTGGGTAGATAATTTTATTTTTTAAATATTTCCTCTTGTATATTTCAAGATAATAATTATCTCATATTTTATCTTTCTAGTCATTAGCCCATGATAAAATAATCATTTAATCATGTTATGTAATTAATTGATTAATTTATTGATTGTTTGTTTGTGATAAATTTCTATTGATTTCCTATTTATCAAAAAAAAAATTGAAAAAAAATAAAATTTATTATCTTTTATTCTTCTCTTTAATTATTATTTAAGAAATTTTCATACTTTCAATTTCTTTATTTAATTTTAATATAAATTTATTGATTTATTTATTTAATTGTTAATTATTTAGTAAAAATAATTAAATTCTTAATTAAAATAAACTAAAATGAGAAAATGATTTGTTTTATTTAAACTTTACTGTTGTTTATTTATATTATTTGTGATGAATTAATAGTTGAACAGTATTATCATTAACAAGATATAATATACAATGATGTATAATATAATTGATGATTTTCTGTTGTATCCTAATATTATTTTAAGTTTAGTTACTTAGAGTATATATATATATATATATATATATATATATATATATATATATATATATATATATATATATAGAGAGAGAGAGAGAGAGAGAGAGAGAGAGAGGGGAATAGAAAGAAATAGATAGATAGATTTAATGATATTAAAATGTACTCTTGTTACTTTCAATGTATTGGTAGGATAATTCAGTGGCATAGATAATATTTAACTCCATCTGGAGCTCTTCAGCATTATTGTCGGTTCTAAATCCGAGTAAAGAGGGGTTGAAAATAAAGTGAATGACTTAGATTTGTTAAGCACACCTCGCTAAAAAGAGCATTAATCGGGAATAAGGCAATTATCTCGTTTAAACTGCCTTGAGAGTTTGAAGGTCCAGTGAAGACTTAAGAAAAAAAGAGAAGTTGGTGAGTTTGCAGATCACCGCCAGGTGATGACCAAACTGAAACAGGTCAAACAAACATTGAACGATCCGAGGCGCAGCATTACAAAGTTTGACACGTCTTTTCTTTGAAATATTAACAATCTCAGTGAGTTCAATATAGGTCTAAGCATTGGATTTAGTAGAACAGGAAGTATCTATGGATAACAACTAGGAGTAAATCAAATATATATGCTCAAAGGTTATGAGCCTTCAGAAACACCAGAATAATAAATTTATCTGTAAAAGAAAACAGAAATGAACAACAGCACAAAACGTGGAGGCGCATGTGAATATACAGGAGAAAACAAACGAGTGAAGATCATTAGGGTTGAAAGGCGGGAATACGCATAATACCTAGCGACAACAACAGGGAAAAGAGGACGAAAGAAGCATAGGATACAACGAAGAGGCTGGTAAGTCTAGGAGACCAGTAAGGAACGAAGGAGGCGAACCAATCGCTGAGGTTCAAGAACAGCAGAAGAGGTGGTTAGAATTATTCAAAGAGCTCTTGCACGTGATTACATCACTGAGCCCACCGGGAATCGAGGCAATATACGCGGGCCTTACAAATGTTACCACTCCAATAAGTGAAGAAGTCAGCTGACAAACGAGTGGAAAAGCAGCAGGGCCTGGTAGCATACCTGCTGAAACCGTACATAGAGGTGACTGTGTTGGTGCTCCACTTTCTCTTCATAAAGATTTAGAAGGAAGAATAAGTTCTGACAGACGGATACGAAGGATACCGTAACGGGAGGAACTGGAATTAATGTGACAGCAGTTCAAAAAATATCAGCCAACAACTCGATGTATAAAAACTAACCTCAGGGTCTCTGTTAAAAAAGAAGCATCTGATTTTATAGAAGCATGTCTGTTTTCCTCCCATTTCGCTAACATCATATCCTTCTATCTTAGTTGTGATAACTGCATGGCATCGGTTCATGAGTTTAAAATGTATTTATGAGGTGTCTGGAAAAGGCGTTGACTTCCCTATTACGCCACATAGGTATGGCTTCTTTATTCGACATTTCTAAATTATTTTCGTTGTGTTCAGCGAAACGAAGAAGCTATGACAAACAATGGAAGCTATTTTCGTGTAAATTATTTCACTTGATTCAAATGTAAATTTCAAACATTTAGTTTTGATCGTAGGTTATTTTATAAATTTTGAGCACCCATTTCATGTATGATCCACTGATATATCTTTTCTATTTCGATGCCATTGTTTTTCTACCCTAATGCCTAGTTTGAACATGATTACACTTTTCACATTTTTGTGCATGATGATTGTGCTTGTCATCCATTTGTTCATGTATCGTTTTGTACTAATCTGAATCGGAAATCAAGAATAAGTCCAGTGGTGTTCCAGTTGACTTGTGTTCTCTCTCTCTCGATTGTCAACCGAAAGGTAATAGAATAGTTTCCGTTTCCCCGAGGCCATTAGTATTAGTTCACACTCACACATTTCTAGCTTCAAGGTTAAGCCGGTTGGCCTGTTGTTTCTCATTGTCTTAGATCAAATCGAGACAAGTTCTTTCCTGTATATTGTTGGGTAGACAGGCCAACTATGCAATGAATTCGAACCCCTAATTTACTTCTCATAACAAGTAAATACAACTCCCCCTTTTTGGAAGTGATTGATAGTTTCAGCGTGACAGCAATTTGAAGAGTGACAGATATTCTTATGTAGATGAGATTTGTTACCTCTTGATCACTCATTGATTGACCTAGAAGTTGTAGAGACTCTTACGAATACTCAGTTCTTAGGATTAGCGATTATTTCATGTTCGTCCTGCAGATTCATTATGGTTTGTGTCTGATCGTTGGGTACGATCAAACCATCAACATATGCATAAAAAATATAATGAATAACAGAAAACTTAACCAGATATGAGTTAAGGTGTTGGCATAGTGTCTATCGGTTCGAATATAATATACTGACACACATATTTTGGTTACCATGGATGGTTTCTAACACTGTTCGAACCGAAATCACATACTACGGCGGGGAGACAGCCCCATTAGGGTTTAAATTTTGGTTATGCAGAGGGAACAACGGTAGCCTTCTTCCTCATGTCAACGATTAAGTTAGTTTCGAAACATTTGTCAGTTATTTGGGACAGTCAGTTTGGAGGTAAACTATTTCTAACAGTTGTCTATTGTCTCGAAATCTCTAAACCTCCCTATTTCAAACGACTAATTTATGAACGAACATAATCAGCTTATTGATAGTGTTATTGTTAAGCGTATTAAACACATCTCAAAACTTTTAGCAGGGTGATAATCCACCAGTGTATTTTACTTTTTACAGGTTTATGTGTGAATCTTAGTGTGAACAAGTTCATATACGTTAGCCCTTGTTTGTTGTCTTTCACTCTTAACTCACTGATCTTAGCACAAAGGCTAAGTTCCATGTTCTCTTATTCTCCACGCTCAGCCTATCTACTGACTATCACTGTCTCTGATGGATAGTGTGGATAAAATCTACACGTCCACAATATTGTCTATATTTGGCGCTTTGTTGTCTGTTTTTAATGACGAGATCAGTCGAGAAAATACATATGAGATTGACTAGGGTCTGTATTATATCATCATTATCATTATCAATGTGAGTAGGAAATGAGGTTACCAGACTTATTGTGGTATGCATAAATAATGAGATCATCATAATTAGAAGAAGTTCTCGATGTTTTGTTATGCATTTTAACTGCATAGCAACTGTGGGGCCATTTATGCAGTTGCAGAGCTATTAAATCTTTTACATCCGGTTTATAGGTTGCTTGTTGTCAGTTTATATTTAGCACTCACCGCTACTGTGTAATCAGGAATGCGGTTGGAGATTAGGTTAACTCATTTCTATTCACGTCGATAGATTTAATGGAGCACTACGAACGTGCTAGCGTATTTCATCAGACAACCTGGAACTAGTGTGATCTAGTTTTGTGATTAAAAGGATAATGTTTGTCCTGACATGTGAACCATAACAAGAATAGTTGGAATTAAAATGCGGTTCAGTTATTCAGTAATATGGAGAATTTTGAAGAGCATCTTGTGTTTGCGAAGGCAATCTCGCACTCCAAGATTTCAAAATAAAGACCTATTTACTAATAATTTGGCTTATATCGAGATAGCGAGAGGAACCGACTGGCACGAAACATGTACGTTAACGGGAACTGTCATTCAGAGAGAAGATTTTGAGAATGTAATACTTGTGAAGTAGTACGCAACAAAATGAAACCAATGGTAGGAAGTTTAAACATAAGAGAAAAATGAGGAAGGTTATATTCTACTGAAGATTAGATTACTGGAAACTACTGAGAACTATTAATGGACTAATATTTTATATATTCCTATCGTATAACTGTTCAGTAACTAGATTATGTATATCGATGTTACTCTTACTATAAGTTTCATTTTGACCTGTAAACTATTTGTTATACGATTTGCTGTTCTTAATTTATGTTCAGTTTATTGATTACAGTCGACCACGTTCTCATCGACCTTTTAGCTTGATCTTGCGCAAACTTTATTTCCTATTTTATGATGTGTTATGGTCTGTTTGGCTGGTATATAAGCCAAATGTGTGTTCTGGACTCAATTGGACGGGCTAGGCGAACAAAGATCAATAAGGAATCTAAGCTGATCATACCGGTCGAACGTCATTGGTTTGGCACAGTGCTAAGATTAAATAAGTCATATTTTGATTGGCGAATAGATCATACGATAATAAACCGGCCTTAAAGTCACAGTAGGGAACCCATAGGAAATAAAAATGTAGGAACTCAGACTATATCGGGGTTGAAAATGTTTTTGTGGACAGTCACTGATCGCTTCAGATTTTGCAACCGAGTAGTTTCGAATTGCATATTGTCTTATTGGGTCATTGCACGAGGCTATCATAAATGCGATTTCACTGACATTTGAGTTGCATCTTAAGGGGTTCGGAAGGAAACTCGATAGGATGTCCACCTATTTTGATCGTGATGACAACGAGATATGGATAACATGACAAAAAAATGCGGTGTAGTGTCAGAACTAGAAAATGTAGAATGTGAGCTACAGAGAGAATCAGAGGATCAGATATTATATGTTAAATGATAAGGGCGTCAAGTTCGTTGTCTGTCGGTCAATTACCTGGCCACCAAACTATGTTACTTTTGGCCTACGACCAAACGCACCCTGACTTTAGAGATGTTGTGACTAGAATGTTATCTCGGTTGAAGTAAACGTGTCCATAT